ATTTATATGTATATATGAATAATATATTTATATCTACATACATTTATATATCTATATATATATATTTATATATTTATATATTTGCATGTATATATAAATAATATATTTATATATGCATGCAAATAATATATTTATGTAAGAATGTAAATAATATATTTATATATGCATATATATTATTATTATAGAATTTATTTACAAACATATATACATAAATAGATGTTCAACAGCCCACAGCGCATTTTGCAAAGGCCAAGACCCTCTAAGTACCCTCGCATGCAACTGCATGCATGCAGTGAGTGCATGCATTGAGTGCATGCATGGATTAAATGCATGCATGCATTGAGTGCATGCATGGACTAAATGCATGCATGGATTAAATGCATGCATGCATTAGGTGCATGCATGCACCAAGTGCATGCACGCACTAAGTGCGTTCGTGCATTAAGTGCATGCATGCAAGCACTCCGTGCATGCATGCAACTGCACGCATGCATGCATGCATGCGCATGCAGCCGCTCACCTGGGCTTTTTCAGGAACGCCTGTGTAGGTCCAGGCCTGAATGGCTTTGTCGAGTTTGCGGCTGAGTCCGCCTTCGTGTTGGAGGGCCCCCGAGGCTTCGCTGAAGAAGCTGCTGTAGTGGTTAAGCTGCTGGAAGACCACTGGGTGGACCACTGGTCTAAACGCGGACTGCAGCGCCCCCAGCGCCCGCGCAGACAGCTGCGACAGCAAAACTGCAGCAGCAGCAGCAGCAGCAGCAGCAGCAGCGGCAGCAGCGGCAGCAGAGGCGGAAAACGGGCGGAAATGGATCTGCACGCGCAGCTCAAGGCCACTCGGCCTGCGGCAGCTAGCTAGCTAGCTGCTGCTAGCTAGCTAGCTAGCTAGCTAGCTGGCTAGCTGCTGCAGGTAGCTAGCTGGGTGGCTAGCTAGCTAGCTAGCTAGCTGGCTAGCTGCAGTGAAGAGCCTTTGTCAATTGTCTTTGGAGAATTGTTGGGAAAGAAATTAAGAATTTAATTTAAATGAAAAGGGGGTGCGTGGCCGCGAGGTGTACGTACACCTGACGTGCATCTTGGTGAGTTTTTCTTTCTTTTTCAAAAAGCCAAAAAGCTTTTTCATAATTCCTTTTCTTTCGTGTTTTCCCCGAACAATGAACTCCGCCTGAAAGCGACTAAGTCCGTAAAGTGCGTCTGAGCCCGCATGCGCACACGCACAAAAGCTGCTGCTGCAGCAGCAGCAGCAGCAGCAGCAGCAGCCCAGTGGTCCAGTGGTCCATTGGACTCACCCTTGTAGAAGGTCTCTTTGGACTTGGTCTTGAAATTGAAAAGACCAAACCACTCATGGAAGACCAGCAGCGGCCGCATCCAGGGGCTGGAGAGGCGCAGCAAATTGTAAGCAGCAGCAGCAGCAGCAGCAGCAGCAAACGGGTGCTGCTGCCGCCAGTCCCTGCAGTGCCGCCCCACACAAGGCTCGTGCCGCGCCAGCCACCCCAGCACCCGCTCCATATTCACCCCTGCAGCAGCAGCAGCAGCAGCAGCAACAGCAGCAGCAGCAGCAGCAACAGCAGCAGCAGCAGCAGCAACAGCAGCAGCAGCAGCGAGGGTGCATTTGAAGTGGTTCCTTGGTTTCCCACGGGCTTGCTGACCCACGCAGCAGCAGCAGCAGCAGCAGCTGCTGCTGCTGCTGCTGCTGCTGCTGCATTATTCCTTTCTTGTGCAGTTTGTGTCTCTCTAAGTGCATTAAATTATTCATATTTTGCATTTTAATTTATCTTTTTCCGAACTCCCTTTTGTCTCCTTTCGCCGCAGCAGCAGCTGCTGCTCCTGTTTGCTGCTAGCCGCTCAAAGGGCGCTTTTGGCTGCTGCGCTTCTGCTGCAGCTGCTGCTGCTGCTGTTGCTGCTGCTGCTGCTGCTGCTGCTGCTGCTGCTAAGACAAGTGTCTCACTGCTGTCAATTTCTCGCCAAATGGGTTCAAAGAAGTCGCAGTAAAGGGGCAGCACAAGTTTGCTGCAGTTCAGCTGCTGCCAAGTCTTGCTGCTTGCTGCTGCAGCACATTGCTGCGAATAGCTTAAAGTGTCTCCTTGGCCCTGCTGCTGCAGCTGCCGCTGCATCTCCTTCGGCCATATCTTCTTGCATGCGGCGCTGCCTGCGCAGCAGCAGCAGCAGCAGCAGCAGCAGCAAGCAGAAGACACGTCCAGCAAAAAGCCCCAAATCTTGCATGCGAAGGCCTGCATGCGCTGAGGGGCGAAGCAGCAGCAGCAGCAGCAGCAGCAAACGGATAAGCTTTCTTTCGGGGCTTAGGGAGGCGAGAAGAGACCTCCGCAGCGAATTAGGGTTTAGGGTTTAGGGTTTAGGGTTTAGGGTTTAGGGTTTGGGGGCGAACTGGCTCGGGTGGCAGCCACAATGGCATCGAAGTTGCGCGGGTCCTTGTTGAGCAGCAAATCACTTCCTGCAGCAGAATGCATGCAGCAGCTGCTGCATGCGTTTTGGGGCTTTTGTGCTGCAGCTGCTGCATGCGTTTTGGGGCTTTTGTGCTGCTGCTGCTGCATGCGTTTTGGGGATTTTTTGCTGCTGCTGCTGCTGCATGCGTTTTGGGGCTGCTCACCGTCAGCAGCAAGGACAGTGAGCAGCGGCACCAAGGCCTCAGGGTTGTTGGCTGCATGCGCATGCACATGCAGCAGCAGCAGCAGCAGCAGAAGCAGCAGCAGCAGCAGAAGCAGCAGCAGCAGCAACAGCAGCAGCAGCAGAGCGACGGAGGGCCCCAAAAGGATTATTATACTCTCTCTGGGGTGGACACAAGGGAATAAATGGAAATGCATTTGAGACAAAATGGCAGCAGCAGCAGCTGCTGCTGCTGCAGCAGCAGCAGCTGCAGCAGCAGCTGCAGCAGCAGCTGCAGCAGCAGCTGCAGCAGCAGCAGCAAACTCAAACATCAAAAGAAGCAAAAAAGGCACACAAATTGCGAAGAATTTCTTTCGAGGGAAGGAAGCCCACTGCAGCAAAAGCGGAGAAGAAGGATAAAGAAATAAAAGGAAATTAAAAAAGATTTTAAAATTAAAAAAATAAAAAAGAAATAATTTAAAACTGTCTTACGTGTTGCTGCAATTAAATAAAAGTAATATTGAAGTTCTTCGCTGTAAGTGGAGACAGGGGCTGTGGCTTCGTGTGGGGTCTCCAGGAAGCTTGCTGCTACTGCTGCTGCTGCTGCTGCTGCTTCTGCAGCGTCTGCTGCTGCTGCTGCTGCGGGGTCACTTGGCTCTGCAGCGGGAGCGGCAGCAGCAGCTTCGGGAGCTGCTGCAGCTCCTGCTGCTTCCCCGTGGCCTGGCTGCGCAGCAGCAGCAGCAGCAGGCGCCCCCGCTGCTGCTGCTGCAGCCTCCGGCTCCGCATGCTGCTGCTGCTGCTGCTCCGCAGCAGCAGCAGCAGCAGGCGCCTCCGCTGCTGCTGCTGCGGCCTCCGGCTCCCGCTGCTGCTGCTGCTGCTGCGGGTGTGGGGCCCGGGGAGGCAGCAGCAGCAAGTCCTGCAGCCCGCAGGGCTGGGGGCTTTCGAGAATGGCAGCAGTGGGGCTTTTGTGAAGTCCAAAACAAAGTCTTTTATAATTAATTTCTTTACTTGTGCTTTTTTGCAAACTCAAAACTCTGTTGAAACTCTCGGGAGGCCTCGTCTCCAGCAACTCGTTGAAGTACGCCAGGCCCCGCTCGTAGCCTGCAGTCCCACGCATGCATGCATGCATGCGTGCATGCATGCATGCATGCATGCATGCGCTTGTGCATGCATGCATGCATGCCCTTTTGCATGCAAGCATGCATGCACTTGTGCATGGACACTCTTCTGCATGCATGCTTGCATGCATTCCCTTGCGCATGCACGCCCTTTTGCATGCATGCACGCATGCATGCATGCATGCACTTGCGCATGCTTCTGCATGCATGCATGCATGCATGCATGCATGCATGCATGCATGCACGCATGTGCTTGGGGAAGTTTCTCGGCGTCCTTGGAAGCCCCTGCGCTGGGGCTTAGCGGCCCAGGGTTTAGGGTTTAGGGTTTAGGGTTTAGGGTTTAGGGTTTGGGGCTGACTGAGCTGGGAGAGGGCTATGGAGTCCTCGAGAAGGTCGCATGCAAGTCTGGGAAGCCCCAAAGAAGAAGTTTGGCGGAGAAGAAAAAGCCGGGGAATAAAACGAAAGCCCGCGGGGAGTGTGGGGTCTTTTCGGATTTTTTTGGTTTTGATTTGACACAAAAGGTCCATTTGATTTCTTTTTTTTGAAGAAGAACTTATCAAAAAGTCCACAAAGTTTGGAAAAGGCCGAGACCCCTCAGAGCCCTCAAACAACTCCGAGAAACGCAAGTGCGCCAGCAGCAGCAGCAGCAAACCCGACTTCACTGCGACGCATGCAAAACGCATGCAAAACGCATGCAAAACGCATGCAAAACGCATGCAAAACGCATGCAAAACGCTTGCGAATTTGCATGCAGGCAAATGTCCTTAGGGCCCAGTGCAGCTTCCCAACGAAGAAAGCTGGACTTTTTTCGCAACGAATCGGGGCTGCATGCGCGCATGCATGCGCGCATGCATGCATGCAGGCATGCATGCATGCATGCATGCATGCATGCATGCATGCATGCATGCATGCATGCAGGGGGCTTACAGACAGGGTTGTAGGAAGCTGAGAAGAAGATCATCGAAGTTGGAAGTTTGGAAAGAAACAAACGAGTGAGGCCTTTGACGAGAAAGTCCCTTACAGGGACTTGTTCGTTTATTCGGGCTTGCGCTCTGTAGCTCAGGTCTGTGGGGCTGCTGCTGCTGCTGCTGCTGCTGCTGCTGCTGCTGCTGCTGCTGCTGCTGGGCCTCGTCGCGCTGCAGGCAGCAAAGAAGCGAAAGAGCCGCAGCCGGAAGAAACAAATGCAGAGGCAAGCCGCGGGCACGCAGGCCTCTAAACGAGCTGCTGCTGCTGCTGCTGCTGCTGCTGCTGCTGCTGCTGCTGCTGCTGCTGCTGCTGCTGGTTTGCTCACTGGAGCTGCAGCAAAGCTGCTTGGGAGTCTTCGTGCTGCACATTTGCTGCTGCAGGGGGACTGAGTCCCCAGTGAGCAAAAGTCTCCTTTAAAGCTTCTTTGGGGCTTTTGCCTTCTTTGAACTTTTGAAAAGGCGCATGCAGCAGCATGAGGTCTATGTACTGCAGCAGCAGCAGCAGCAGCCGGGAGCAGCGCAGCAGCTCGTTTCCCCGGGCGTGCAGCAGCGCAGCTTCCGTGGCTTCTGCTGCTGCTGCTGCTGCTGCTATCTCCTGCATGTCGCACCGCAAAGTGGACAAATTCCCCAGCCTTTCTGCTGCCGTCCCCGCTGCTGCTGCTGCTGTTGCTGCTGCTGCTGCTGCTGCTGCTGGGCAGCCGCTGCTGCTGCGCTTCAGGCGCCTGCAGCCCTCCTGGCCTCTCTCTGCAGCAAACAAAGGCCACAAGTCTGCAGCAAAAATGATTTTAATTATTTTCAAAAATAAATATAATAATAATACTAATTAATAAATGCATGTTATAGAAACAGCTGCAGCAGCAAAGAAAGAACCGCAGCAGCAAAGAGACAGTTGCAGCAGCAAAGAGGCAACTGCAGCAGCAAGACTGCAGCTGCAGCAGCAAGACTGCAGCTGCAGCAGCAAGACTGCAGCTGCAGCAGCAAACAGGCAGCTGCAGCAGCAAGACAGCAGCAGCTGCAGCAGCAAGACAGCAGCAGCAGCAGCAGCAAGACAGCAGCTGCAGCAGCAAAAGTGTCTCGCACCGCGAAGGGCCTCTTCGAGCCAAGAATTGCCGAGGGCCTCTTTTAGTCTTTTTAAATTCTCTTGTGGAGATACAGCTGAGACAAAAACAAAGAAATTCCAAATTGTCTTCAGCCCAACAGCTGCATGCGCTGCAGCTGCTGCTGCTGCAGCAGCTGCAGCAGCGCGAACAGCAGCAGCAGCTGCAGCAGCGCGAACAGCAGCAGCAGCGAACTGCAGTAGCAGCTGCTGCAAACTGCAGCAGCAGCCACCAAAAATAGCAGCAGCGGCACACTGCCGCTGCAGCTAGCGAAAGCAGCAGCAGCAGCTGCAACAGCGGCGCACTGCCGCAGCAGCCACCGAGAACACCAGCAGCAGCAGCAGCAGCAGCAGCAGCAGCAGCAGCAGCAGCAGGCTGCTGCGGGCCTGCAGCTCACGGGCGAGGGGCACAGTGTCGTCGAACTTTTTGCTGCGCTGCAGTTCTTTTTTTCCTGGCCTAAAAACCTCAATGCCCTCCAGCAAGGCTTCGAGGAAGTGCAGCAGCAAACGCAGCAGCAGCAGCAAGCTGCAGCACCCGCTTCGTGCAGCAGCAGCAGCAGCAGCAAGGTAAGGCGGCAGCAGCCTAGTGCAGCAGCAGCAGCAGCAGCAGCAGCAGCAAGGTAGGGCGGCAGCAGCCTAGTGCAGCAGCAGCAGCTCAGTTCAGCAACAGCTTGGTGCAGCAGCAGCAGACAGCAGGAGAGGCGCGTGAAGCAGCGGGACACTGCAGCAGCAGCAGCCGCAGCAGCAGCAACTGCAGCAGCAGCAGCTGCAGCAGCAGCAACAGCAGCAGCAGCAACCCCACCGGCTCCTCATAAGACCTCACCGTCGAGGCTGCCAGGGCTCAGGCGCTCTGCGCATGCAAAGGAAATAATAAATAAAATAAAAATAAAAAAAATGTTTTAATTAAATTTAAATAAAACAAAAAAAGAAATACTTTAACACTTTGGGAAAAGCCTCACCCACAAGCTCCTCACCGGGGGCCCCCTGGGGGCCCCCCTCGTCCTGGCTTTGCTGCGGAGCTGCAGCAGCAGCAGTCCCGGCACTCAGCAGCAGCAGCAGCAGCAGCCCCGCTGCTGCTGCTGCTGCTGCTGCTGCTGCTGCTGCAGCAAAGGCTCGCGGGGACCTGTTGACGCGCGGCATAGTGACCCCCAACCCCCCCTGGCATTCCCAAGAAAGAAAAGGCCTTTTGGGAGAAGTTGAAAAAGAAGAAGTGTGGGGTTTGGGGTGTACGTACACCGCAGCAGCAGCAGGGCAGCAGCAGCAGCAGCAGCAGCAGCAGCAGCCAGCGGGACCAGTGGAAACGGAGGCGGGAGGCGGGGCGGCGCCCGCATGAGCTGTTTGCTGCTTCTGGCCCTTTGCTGCTGCTGCTGCTGCTTTTAAATAATAAATAAAATAAAATTAAAGTTTAATTTCCTTTTTTTTCAAAGAAAAAGAAAGAAAAAAGAAAGATCTGGCCCGCGGGCGCCGCGGCGATGAGCACCCGCAGCCGCCGTGCGCACACGCGCGCCTCCCTCGCCAATTTCGCGCTTTCTCCGAAATAAATTCAATCATTAATCCAAAATTAAATTATTAATGCAAAATGCATCAAAAATAATTCAAAATAAACTCCAAAAAGCCCCTCCAGGCCCCACAAACCCGCAGCCGAAAAGACAGCCGGGCGGGCCGGCCCGCCGCGGCTTCTCCGGATCGCTGAGGTGTCTAGACACCTGCATGCGCGTGCGACTTTTCTGCTTCTTCAACGGCTTTTTATAATTCATTTTTAATTTAATTTCTTTATTTACTTTTCTTTTTTTCAAAAGAAAGGAAAAAAGATTACAAACCGCGCAAGAACGGCTCTTTTTGCGCAGCTGCTTGCGCCGCGAGCCGGCGACCACTTGCTGCTGCTCTCTTTGAATTTTAATGCATTTTCACTCCAATTTCTGCAATTTTAATTCATTTTAATGTTTTAAATTCGTTTTTATGCAAAAAAACAAAAAAAAACAAATTGGGACTTTTTCCGGGCTTTTGGCTTCCGCGAGCAGTCGGCAGTCGCGGTCACGTCGCCGCAGCTGCTGCTGCTGCTGCTGCTGCTGCTGCTGCTGCTGCTGCTGCTGCATGCATCGACTTTTCGGGCTTTGTTTGCCCCAGACTTTGCCAAATTAAATGCCATTATTCATTTATTTCTTCCTCTTTATGCAGCTGCAGCTTTTCGGGCGCTTTAAAGGCCTTTTTGGCCGCGTCACGCTGCAGCGATTTCAGGTGTCTGTACACTCCAGTGCAGCAGCAACTCACAGTTACTACACCAAATAATAAAATCAATTAATTAAAAATAATTAAAAATAATTAAAGTAATTAAAAGCAATTAATTAGCATCTGATTTGTTTTTCAGGTTTTACACCTCCACGGCGCAGAGGAAAGAGAAAAGGGGCTCAAACCCTAAACCCTAAACCCTAAACCCTAAACCCTAAACCCTAGAACCCAAGCCGGAAACCCTAAACCCTAAACTCAAGCAGCTTCAGGCCGGGGCTTCTCATCTGCTGCTCAACTGTCTCCTTCCTTCCCCAGCAGCAAAGAAAGTGGACAGGCCATTTGGTCAGCTAGGGTTTAGGGTTTAGGGTTTAGGGTTTAGGGTCTAGGGTTTAGGGTTTAGGGTTTAGGGTTTACGTGAAGTTCAGCTTCAATTTAGGGTTCCTTATAGAGGCCTTCGCTTGCCGGTGCTGCTGTTGCTGCTGCTGTTGTTCTTGCGGCTGCTGCTGCTGCTGCTGCCGTTGCTGCAGCTACTCTTGCTGTTGCTGCTGTTGCTGTTGCTGCAGCTGCTGTTGCGGCAGCTGATGTTGCTGCTGCTGCTGCTGCTGCTGCTGCTGTTTCTGCGTGTCGCTGCACGCTGAGGATCCAGCCCAAACCCTAAACCCTAAACCCTAGCTGCTAAACCCTAGAGCAGAAGGGGCTAGGCCCTAAACCCCAAACCCTAGACTGAAAACCCTAAACCCTAATTAGAAAGGCTCCTTTAGCAGCAGCAAAAGGAGAGAAAAAGGAAACATAAGAATAATTAGAGAAGCAGCAAATGCAGCAAAAGAATAAACAAATAAATATTTTTTTTGCATTTCTTTTTATTTTCTAACTTTTATTTTTTAAAAGAAAGAAGAGAAACCCCGCTTCGTCAACTGCTCCAGACGAGGGTTTAGAGGGCGGGCTGAAGCACCTAGGGTTTAGGGTTTAGGGTTTAGGGTTTAGGGTTTAGGGCTTAGGGTTTAGCGGCTCAGGCTAGGTCCTTCGAATAAGAGTCTTAAAATTCCTAATCTTACAAAACATAATTTTTATTACTAAACCCCAGAACACAAGCGAATCCCTAAACCCTAAACCCTAAACCCTAAACCCTAAACCCTAAACCCTAGCACTTCGTCCCCGCCGACTCGTTGTCTTGAAGCAAACCGACTCGAAACCCTAATCCCTAGATGCAAACCGCAACTCCCTGAGTCCTTTAAACTTAATTATTTATTTTAAACCCTAAACCCTAATTCCTAAACCCTAAACCCTAAACCCTAAACCCTACTGCTCCTCTAGCCTCGATTCTCCTAGGGTTTGGGGCCCCCAGCAGCTGGCCGCCGACCGGGGGGCCCCCCGCATTAAAAATAAGCCAAAAGGCGAATAAAAAGGACTTAAATTGAATAAAATAGAATAAAATTAAATTTAATTTAATAAAATTAATTAAATTAAATTAAATTAAATCAAATTAAACCAAAAAACCCCAAAAGTCCGCTGCCGCCTTCGGCTGGCGAGCAACGCTGAGGTGTACGTACACCTCAGCGTGCACTCCGATCATTTTTTCGTTTTTTTTGTCATTTTTCCTCCAAAACTCCAAAAAAGAGAATTTTAATTCTAAAATACCTTTTTTTATGTTTGCTGCTTCAACTCAGCCCCAGGGGTAATCCCAGAAACATCCTTTTCTCCAGCCAGCAGCCCGGGGGCCCCCAGGCCCAGCAGCCCCCAGCCCCAATGCATGCATTTCGGGGCCCCTGAGGACTCTTCTAGGGTTTGGGGGGCCCCCGGGGGCCCCCCGGAAGCTTCCCTGATGCGGCGGGGGGCCCCTGGCCTGCTGCTGCTGCTGCTGCTGCTGCTGCTGGGTCCGCTGCTGCTGCTGCAGGCCGCAGCCGCTGCAGCGCGGCGGGGGCCCCTGCTGCTGCAGCAGCCTGCGTGGCTCTCCAGGGGGCCCCCTGCGGGTCATGGGGGCCCCCTGGGGCCCCTGTGTGGGGCCCCCCGGGGCGGCGGGTCTGGGGGCCCCCCTGAACCCTCCTTTCCCAAACCCTTAAACCCTAAAAGGGGGCCTCCAAACCCTCGACCTTCCAAACCCTTGGACTCCAAAACCCTAAAAGGGGGGCCCCCGAGCCGAGGGCCCTTTGCTGCGAGCAGCGCGCGGCGAGTTGCCTTCAAGCCCGCGCGGCCGCTGCTGCCGCAGCAGCAGCAGCAGCAGCAGCAGCAGCAGCAGCAGCAAGACAGCGTGGGCCCCCTGGGGGGTGGGGAGTTGCTGCTGCAGACTCTGGGGGCCCTGGGCTTCCCGCAGCCGCTGGGGGCCCAAAAGGAGACACTTAGTGCAGCAGCAGCAGCAGCAGCAGCAGATTTGGTCCTCTGCAGCCCCACAGGTTCGGGCAAGTCTTTGGCCCTGCTGCTGCCGCTGCTGCAGTGGCACACGGCCCGCTCTGCAGCAGCAGCAGCAGCAGCAGCTGCTGCTGCTGCTCCTCCAGGGAAGGGCGCAGCAGCAGGGAAGGCAGCAGCCGAGCAGGAAACGGGACTCCTCTATCCCAGCAGCAGCAGCAGCAGCAGCAGCAGCAGCAGCAGGGAGAGTGCTGGGGGTCCTGCTGCAGCAGCTGCTGCTGCTGCGCCTTTGGCAGCAAACGTGCTGTCTGCTGCTGCTCACCGCAGTGTATGTACAGCAGAGTTTGTGTCTCTCGTTTTGGTCCCCACAAGAGAGCTGGGGATACAGCTGATGGGGGAGCTGCAAGCTGCTGCTGCTGCTTGGCTTGCTGCTGCTGCTGCTGCTGCTGCTGCTGCTGCTGCAGCAAGCAGCAGCAGGGAAAGAGGGGGCCCCCGAGGAGACAAAAGAAGACACAAAGAGTCCCCTTTTCCCCTCAAAGTCCCCAGGCTGCTGCTGCTGCAGGAAGCAGCAGCAGGAAGCAGCAGCGGAGGTGTATGTACACCGCAGAAGGAGACACTTGGGGCCTCGAGAGACACAAAAGGCAGCAGCAGCAGCTTGCCGTGGGTCTTCACTTTTGCTGCTGTTTTTCTTTTCTTTTGCTTCTTTTTTGGCCAAAAAGGACTTTTATTTCTCCAAATAAAAGCCTCCAATTGCACAAATAAACAAACACTTTTTATTGCATTTATTTTTAAACAAATTTTCGAAAAAATCTCCAAAAAATTCCCCAAATTGCCTTTCTTTCCACTGCGCTGGGGTGTCTGTACACCCCAACTTGCCGCAAATTGCATGCAGCAGCAGTTTTTTTATTGTTTTCTTGATTTAAATTATTTAAATCATTTAAATCATTTAAATTATTTAAATTATTTAAATCATTTAAATTATTTAAATTATTTAAATTGTTTAAATGATTTAAATGATTTAAATGGTTTAAATGGTTCAAGATACTTGAATGATTTAAATTATTTAAATGATTTAAAACATTTGAATTGTTTAATTTGCTTAAATGGCTTACGAGATTTAAATGATTTAAATGGTTGAAGAGATTTAAATGATTTAAAAGCTCTAGAAGATTTGAATTATTTAAGTTATTTAAATTATTTAAATTATTTAAATTATTTAAAAGCTTTAAAGGATAAAAGTGATTAAAAGGATTTAATTTTGTTTTTATTTTTGGGCTTTTGAGGTCTTTTTGGCTTCGGGAAAAAGTGCTCGAAGCACTTTGAGGTGTACATACACTGCAGCAGTTTGAATTCCCCAAGTGCGCATGCAAGTCTTTTTGATTAGTTTTACTTCTTTTTCTTTCCTTTCTGAAATATATTTGAAATAAATACAATTGTGGCTGAAAAAGAAGCAAAAAGGGGCTTTAAAGAGCTCCAAAAGCTGCAGATACACCCGAAATACTGCTGCAGTTGCAGTGTACGTACACCGCAAGTGTGGGGCCGCTGCTGCAGGACAGACACCGCAGGCCTCATTTTGCTGTCAACTCCGGGGGCTTTAAAGAGTTTGTTGGAAGTGAGATTTATTTCTTTTCTTTTTCCTTTCTTTTTCTTTTCTTTTTCTGTTCTTCTTTTGTTTCTGTTCTTTATTTCTTTTTTCTCTCTTTTTATGTCTTTTTTTCCTTTGTTTTTATCTTTTTTATCTTTTTTGTTTTTTTCCTTTTCTTCTCGTTTTTGTCTTTTTCTGTTTCTTTTTGTTTCTTTTTGTCTCTGTTTTTTTCTGTTAATTTTGATGCATTATTATCTCCTTTTGTTTCTTTTTGTCTCTTTTTTGTTTCTTTTTATTTTGTTTTTTATCTTTGTTATTTTTTCTTTTTGGTTTCTTTTTTTTCCCTTTTTGCCTCTTTTTGTCCCTTTTTTGTCTCTTTTCGTTTTCTTCTTTTCTTTCTTTTTTGTTTCCTTTTGTCTCCTCTTTGTTTCTTCTTTTGTTTCTTCTTTTATTCTTTTTGTTTCTTCTTTTATTTCTTTTTTGTTTCCCTTTTATCCTTATTTATTTCTTTTTTATTTTGTTGTTTTCTCCTTTCCAAACAAACCCCGTCGGGCTGCTGCCTCCCTAGGTCCCGCTGCAAACCCTAAACCCTAAACCTTAGGAGGTAAACCCTAGGTGGCTTTCATGGCTGCTGCTGCTGCTGCTGCTGCTGCTGCTGCTGCTGCAGCGACTCATCACGGGGGGCCCCCAGGGGGCCCCCCGCCGCTTTGCTGCTGCTGTGAGGCATGTGGTGCTGGATGAAGTGGACAGAATGCTGCAGCCCCTCCGTGCGTCTCCTCAAACCCTAAACCCTAAACCCTAAACCCTAAACCCTAAACCGTAGGCCTGGGGTTAGTGGCAAGCCCCAGTGCCCTCTGCAAACCCTAGCCCCGCAGCTTGAATCGCTAAACCCTAAACCCTAGGCCTTTAAACCCTAAACCCTAGAGCGCTGGCTTTTTGCTGCTAAACCCTAAACCCTAGGCCGCTCTGGCCCTGGCTGCCAAACCCTAAACCCTAGAACGCTGGCGTTTTGTTGCTAAACCCCAAACCCTCGGCGCAGGCAAACTGCTGCTGCTGCTGCTGCTGCTGCTGCTGCTTCGAGCCTTGGAGGAAAGAAAAGGCAGCAGCAAAGTGGCAAGTTTGGATTTTGTCTTTTTGTCTTTTTGTCTTTTTACCCCTAGGCCGTTATGCCCCTTTGAAAGAGCGCATGCAGCATTTGCGGAAGCCCCAAACAGTGGAGGTGCTGCTGCGGCTGCTGGTGACGAGCCGGCTGCTGCCTGCTGCTGCTCCTGCTGCTGCTGCTGCTGCAGCAAAGGGACTGCAGCGCAGCAGCGGGGGCCCCCTCCCGCTGCAGCTGCTGGCAGCAACTGCCACTCTCGGGAGGCCCCTCCACCGCCGCCTCACAAACTTCGTTCGCTGGAAGCAGCAGCAGCTGCTGCATGCGCAGGAGCCCCCGCTGCAGCAGCACTTCGCCTTGCCCTCCCGCTGCAGCAGCAGCAGCAGCAGCAGCAGCAGCAGCAGCAGCAGCAGCAGGCAGGCGTGGGCTGGGGCTTTCGCCACGCCGCAGCAGCGCATGCGCGCAGCCTTTATGAGACTTGCTGCTCGGGGCCTCCTGGGCCTTCCCAAATTCACCCAGGCCCCAGAGGGGCCCCTCGGGGGGCCCCCAGGGGGGCCCCCTTGGGGGCCCCTGGGGGGCCCCCCACAGGGGGCCCCCGCAGCTGCAGCTCGTGCCCCCCTCCCCTTCAAGTCTTTGCTGCCAGTCATAAGGTGAGACTCTGCGCAGGGGGCCCCCAGGGGCCCCCCGGGGGGCCCCCAGGGGGCCCCAGGCGAAGCCCCCAGGGGCCCCCCGGGGGGGCCCCAGGGACTCCCGGGGGCCCCCAAAGCCCGTGGGGGCCCCAGAAAGGGCCCCCTGAGGGCCCCCGGGGCCCCCCGGGGCAGCGAAGAAGGCCTAAGGGGGCCCCTGTTGGGTCCTTTAGAGACAATGGACCGAAGCAAAAAGGGACAGAGAAAAGGGTACAGCAAGGGGGGCCCCCTACGTGTTTGCTGCTGATGTTTCTGCTGCTGCGTTTTGCTGCAGGCCGCCGCAGCCGCCGGGGGCCCCAACAGCAGCAGCGCGGGGCCCCACAGGTTCACCTGCTGCTGCAGCACCTGCTGCTGCAGCACCTGCTGCTGCTGCTGCTGCTGCAGCGCATGCAGCCCCAATGCCTCGCTGCATCCGCCACAGTCTTTTCGCCGTGGCGGATAATTCGGCAGGTGAGGCTGTGGGGCTGATAAAGAAAAAAAAGAAAAATAAATTAAAATAAAAATAAATTAAAACAAATAAAAAGAATTAAAATAAATAAAAAGAAATTGAAATAAATAAGAGGGAAAAAGAATAGACGGAAATAAAGAAATAAAAAATAAAAATAAAGAAATACGAAATGAAAATAAAGAAAAGAGAATGCAGGTCAAGAAAGAGAAATAAAAGTAAAGAATAAAAAGATAAAAGTAAAGACAAAAGATATAAAGATAAAGAAAAAAGAAATTAAAAAGAGACAAATGAGACAGAATTAGAAATAGAGAAGAAGGAGAAATAAATAAAAAGAAAAGAAACAAAAAAGAAATAAAAGAGGAAAAAAATAAAGTTTTTGTTTTAAGTGTGGGGCCCCACACTTTTTTTTGCGCAGAGACTCTTGCTGCAGCTGCTGCAGCAATCTGCTGCCAGCTGCGGCCCCGCAGGGCCCTTTTGCTGCTGCAGCAAGGCTCTTCCCTCAAGTCTCTCCAGATGCACATGCGCAGCAGCGGCTTCCAGGTAAGCAGCTAGCTAGCTAGCTAGCTAGCTAGCTAGCTAGCTGGGTGGCAGGCTAGCTAGCTGGCTGGCCGGCTAGCTAGCTGGCTAGCTGGCTAGTTAGCTGGCTAGCGAGTGGCAGGCTAGCTGGTGGCTAGCCGGCTAGCTACCAGGCTAGCTAGCCAGCTAGCCAGCTGGCTAGCTGGTGGCTAGCGGGCTAGCTAGCCAGCTAGCCAGCTGGCTAGCTGGTGGCTGGCTAGCTGGCTAGCCGTAGCTAACTGCAGCTTCCTAGCCGCTTCGCGGGCAGTCAGACCCCAGCAGCTAGTCATAATAAAAGCGCTGCTCTTACCTTTACTGCTGCTGCTGCTGCTGCTGCTGCTGCTGCTGCTGCTGCTGCTGCTGCTGCTGCCTCTCCACAGGTAGATCTGCTGCATGAGACCAATGAGTGGTGGAAGGCCCGGAGCCCGCTGCAGTGGGGTAGGTTATTCTCTGAACATCTCTTAGCAGCAGCAGCAGCAGCAGCAGCAGCAGCAGCAGCAGCGGCAGCAGCTTCAGCTGCAATAGCAGCAGCAACAGCAGCAGCAGTAGCTGCTGCTGCTGCTATGATGTTTCTTTTGCTATACTGCGCCTGCCTGCGCATTTCTGCACATCCTTGTCCTTTTGTGTTCCCCACAGAAAAAGAAAACGAAGAGCAGCAGCAGCAGCAGCAGCAGCAGCAGCAGGAGCAGCAGCAGCAGCAGCAGCTGTTTGCTGCAACGATGGACGCGGCGAGAGGTCTCCACGTAGCAGACGTGAGGAGCACTAGACTCTAATTTGGCGTCACTGGACTTGTGGCAGAGTCGATCTGCGTTAGGGTTTAGGGTTTAGGGTTTAGGGTTTAGGGTTTAGGGTTTAGGGTTTGTGTTGTCAGGCCGACCTTGTGCTGCTGCTGGGGCGCGTGAAGAGCGCTAGAGAATATCAGCACTTGGCGGGTGAGCCTCTGCTGAGCACAAGGGTGCAAGGCCTAGGGTTTAGGGTTTAGGGTTTAGGGTTTAGGGTTTAGGGTTTAGGGTTTGTGTGGGGCGTCGCAGGGCGAGTTGGCCGGTGCGGCCGCCAAGGCGTTTCCGTGGCGGTCTCCGGAGAAGACACTCAGCGGCAAGTTGGAGTTTTTTTTTTATTTTCAGAAAGTTTGAATGAAGTTTAATGTGGCATAATGTAATAATGGCATAATATAATATAATATAATGTGGCATAATATAATGTAATGTGGTATAATATAATGTAATATAATGTGGCATAATATAATGTGGCATAATATAATATAATGTGGCGTAATATAATATAATATAATGTGGTATAATATAATGTAATATAATGTGGCATATAATGTGGCATAGTATAATGTAATATAATGTGGCGTAATATAATATAATATAATGTGGTATAATATAATGTAATATAATGTGGCATATAATGTGGCATAGTATAATGTAATATAATGTGGCATAATATAATATAATATAATGTGGCATAATATAATGTAATATAATGTGGCATAATGTAATATAATGTATAATATAATGTGGCATAATATAATATAATGTGGCATATAATGTGGCATAATATAATGTAATATAATGTAGCATAATATAATATAATGTGGTATAATATAATGTGGCATAATATAATATAATGCGGTATAATGTAATATAATGTGGTATAATGTAATATAATGTGGTATAATGTAATATAATGTGGTATAATATAATATAATGTGGTATAATATAATGTGGTATAATGTAATATAATGTGGTGTAATGTAATATAATGTGGTATAATATAATATAATGTGGTATAATATAATGTGGCATAATATAATGTGGTATAATGTGGCATAATATGGCATAATATAATGTGGCATAATATAATTTGGTATAATATGATGTGGTATAATATAATGTGGTATAATATAATATGGCATAATAGAATGTGGTATAATATAATATGGCACAATATAATGTGGTATAATATGGCATAATGTAATGTGGTATAATACAATGTATAATATAATGCAGTATAGTATAATATTAGTATAATATAATGTAGTATAATATAATATGGTGTAACATGATGTAATATAATTTAATATAATGTAATATAATGTAGTATAATATAATGTAATATAATGTAATACAATGTAATATAATATTATGCAATATAATGTAATATAATGTAATATAATGTAATATAATATGACATAATATTATATAATATACTGTGGTACAATGATATAATATGGTGAAATATATTATATTGTGTTATATTAAATTACATTATAATATATTACATTATGTGTTTTTAAATAATAAATATATATACAGATAAATATATTTGATTTTATGGACTTTGAAAATAAAAATAAAATAAATGCACTTCGACAAACAATTGCCAAATTTTAAAATAAAAATAAATACTTTTAGACAAACATTTATTTTTAAATAAAATTAAAATAAATAAATTTCGCCAAACATTCCTTTGCATGCACGCATGCATTGCGGTGTACGTACACCCGGTTGCTGGCGCTTCGTCGATTTTTCTGTTTTTTCTTTTTTCGAATTTTTGAAAGTTTTTAAAATAAATAAAAAAAGAATTAATTAATTTCGAAGAAAAGACTGTTTATTTCCCCGCAGGGATCTTGTGCAGCAATTTCGATCGCGGCTTCCCTGCTAGGGTTTAGGGTTTAGGGTTTAGGGTTTAGGGTTTGGGGGCTGTGCGTCTGCTGCTGCCCGCAGCGCCCTGAGGGGCTGGCAAAAGACTCTGGGTGTCTCCTTTGAGCCTTTTGCTGCTCTTTTGCAATCTTTAAAAGAAAAAGAAATAAATGAAATAAATGAAATAAGTGAAATAAAAGAAATAAAAGAAATAAAAGAATTAAAAGATATAAAAGAAATAAAAAAAGAGAAGACACCGAGAGACACAAACCCCCAGCTGCCCGCAGCCTCGCTGCAGCTTGCTGCAGCACAGAAACACACACAGCCGGAACCCCCTGCAGGCCAGCAGCAGCAGCAGCAGCAGCAGCAGCAGCAGCAGCAGCAGCAGCAGCCGGAGCCCCTACAGGAGCAGCTGCAGCAGCCGCACCAGTACCTTCAGCGGCAGCAGCGGCTGCAGCCGCAACACCCGCAGCAACAACAGTTGCAACAGCAGCAGGAGCAGCAGCAGCAGCAGCAGCAGCAGCAGCAGCAGCAGCAGCAGACTGAACCACGACACGAGGACACGGGTCTGCTGCGGCCCAGCTCTTTGCTGCTGCCATCTTTGCTGCTGGACTAGCCAGGGATTTTTGTCGAATTAAACTTTTAATTTTTATTTTCTTTTTTCTTTTCTTTTGCTGTTGAGGCGGACAACAGAGCCGCCCCAGCGTTGCTAAACCCTAAACCCTAAACCCTAAACCCTAAATAGGGTTTAGCTGCGTAGAGGCTAGCACTACTCCCTGAGGCTCCTCTCTTGTGTCTTTAGTTTTTTTGTGTCTCCTTTTTCTCTGCCTCTAGTCTTTGCTGCTTCTGTGTCTGTGCTGCTGCTGCTGCTGCTGTTGCTGCTGCTGCTGCTGTTGCTGCTGCTGCTGCGGCTCCTAGCGCTACCTGCTGAGCCGCTGCAGTGTACGTACACCTGAAGTGCAACCCCTGAGGCCCTCTAGCTTTCTGTGGGGCCCCGGCCTTGGCAGCCAAAATGTAAATGGCATTTGCTGTTTGCTGCTGCTGCTGCGCCTCTGCAGCAGCAGAAGGTATTTGCTGTTTGCTGCTGCTGCTGCGCCTCTGCAGCAGCAGACGGCATTTGCTGCCCCCTGCTGCTGCTGCGCCTCTGCAGCAGCAGCCCCAAACTGCGCTGTAAAGTGGCTAAGGACGCACAAGACTGACACCAACAGCAGCAGGAGCAGCAGCAGCAGCAGTAGCAGTAGCAGCAGTAGCAGCAGCAGCAGCAGCAGTAGCAGCAGCAGCAGCAGCAGTAGCAGCAGCAGCGGCAGGCCGTGCAGCCGTCAGCTGCTTTTCGCGCTGCCGTCGCTGCGGCTGCCTGTCTTGCCGCTGCTGCCAGCTTGGCTGCTGCTGCTTGCTTCGCTGCTGCTGCCGCTTGCTTCGCTGCTGCTGCTGCTGTTGCTGCTGCTGCTAGGCCGCAAAGTGCCGCCAGCAGCAGCGCAGCAGCAGCAGCAGCAGCAGCAGCAGCAGCAGCAGCAGGTCCCGCGCCTCCGGGGTTCCCGAGAGCCCCCTCCTGTCTGTCTCCCTTCGTCTCCTTTTCTTTTTATTTATTTATATTTATATTTTTGTTTTTATTTTTATTTTTGTTTTAATTTTTCTTTTCAAAATCCCAAAATGGCTACTCCAGAGGCACTGCCAACAAGTGCTGCCGAGTCTTGCGGTGTCTGTACAGCCGAACCTCCCTATACACCGCAACGGCCAAACGCACTGCCGACCCCACAGCTGCCAGCCGGTGGGTCAAAAGCGCCACTCCTGCGCACAAACCCTAAACCCTAAACCCTAAACCCTAAACCCTAAACCCTAAACCCTCCGCTTTGGGCTGGGAACCCTGAGCCCTAAACCCTTCAGGCCCAACTGCAGCAAAACCGAGGAGCCATGCAAAAGCTTAAAAGGTAAAGGGAAATATCCACGCACTGCAGCAGCAGCAGCAGCAGCAGGAACAGCAGCAGAGACAGCAGCAGCAGCAGCAGCAGCGGCAGAGACCGCTTCAACAGCAGCAAAGACAGCGCCAACAGCAGCAGAGAAAGCAGCAGCAGCAGTGACAGCAGCAGCAGCAGAGACAGCACCAACAGCAGAGTTAGCAACAGCAGCAGCAGCAGAGGCAGCTTCAGCAGCAGCAGCAGCAGCAGCAGCAGCAGCAAAATAGGAGTCCCCACCAGCAGCAAGTACGCAGTAGCTGGTCGCCTTGCATGCATCGAGAGGTTCTGCTGCTGCCCAGGCGCCCAGCAGCCACAGCGCGCCCACAATCTGCAGCAGCAGCAGCAGCAGCAGCAGCAGCAAAGGAGACACTTGGGGGCCCGAAGTGGCAAAAGCAGCAGCAAAAAGGCCCAGGAAGAAGCAAAAAAACGGAGACACAGCAGGGCAGCAGCAGCAGAAAAAGAAAGAGATAAAAGGGGAGAGAAAAAGGGGAAAAGAAACAAAAAGAAACAAAAAAAACGAAAAGAGACAAAAAATAATTCAAAAGACACAAAAAGGGACTGCAGCAGCAGCAGCAGCAGCAGCAGCAGCAGCCGTCGCTGAGCCCCTTTGTCTCTCGAGAGACACTGATGAGCAAAAAACAGCTGCAGCAAAAGGGGACAGCACCAACAACAGCGGCCGCA